GTGATTAAGTATAAGATTTTGTTAACTGCGGTCACCACCTTGGATTTTCTACAGTGAAATCTGCGGAGTTATTTAGATGTAGCTGCAGAATTCTTCTTTTTTGTAATCCGAGAACTGCAATCATCGGAAAATGAATGTTTAAGTGGTAATTCGAAGTGGTACCACATCCATATCAACTAGCGTTGGCTAGACTTTTTAGCCAGGCGCCATCTGCTTATGAGAATCCAATGACAAGTCATGATGCATGGGCAACACCTTTGACCATGAGAAGCTGAGGCAAGCACGTATAAAAAATGTTATTTCTAATTTGGAAATAAACTTGGCTGCTTCAACGAAGAATCCCTTTTTACCATTCTAATGGATGTCAAGCTACAACGTTAAAAAAAAAATGATGTCAGGTTCGTGAATCATGATTCATGGCAATTATTTCCATAACTATAATCCATTGACAGGCCCTCCCCAGAAGCATAGCCCTGTCATTTCACTGAGTTCACCAACCCATGAGAGCATGACCACACATTGACTTGCAATTCTTTCTCTTTGCATGTAAAAACACAAATATTAAGAATTAAGAGTTCCAAATTCCAATAGAGAAGGTCCTTTTAATTGTCACTGCTGCCCAGTTCTCCTATCCATTGACGCTTCTTAAGCTAGCAGTGACTCTTGGAAACATTAGCAAAGCAAAGGCAGCTACTGAATGAGCAATGAAGGTTCCTTAAAAGGGATTAAAAAACGTGAAAATCACTTAAAAATTTGCAACAAGATATTATAATTCCTTTGTAAACGAATGTTTACATGCTCAAAAGACAAAATAGTTAGGCCTTGACTAGGTGGGCTGCACAGCATTCCACAGACTAATAGTCTACCCCCCACCCACATTAACGCGCTGAGAGGAAATTGCTAGGAATTGGTCACAGCAAAGCAAAATGTGCCTCGTGTTTCTCTCTCTCTTATATATATGGAGCTTTTAATACGGAGAGAGCATCAGCATCATCCCATTGGTAAGTGATAATGCCTTCTTGACTATAAGATCACCACATGAGTTTCCAGTTCCCACCACGATTTATTGTGTCAAACATGGATTTTGAAATGCGAGCTAGCAATACTTTTAACATTATCCTTGATTGACGTCTCCCTCTCCCTCTCATATGCGAGGACCATTTCTTCCAGCACCTGTCCGCATCCAAGACCCCTAAATTATTTTTCAAATATGGAGGTGAATGGGGAACACTTTATTAAAGAATTATAACAGTTTAATATAAGAACAATATTCAATACACACACACACACACAAAACCATGCAATGTCATATGAATCTCATTCTTTATTTTTTCATGTAGTTTTCAATGTTAATCATTTGACTTTCATGAACCATTAAATGCATTCTGGGCTAGAGTATAATTCCTTCCACTTAGAAATTAACCTTGATGATATACACATATATTTAGATTAGTGTAACACTTTCAAATCTTAATGATTATCAACATTAATAATATAATAAGATGAGAGCTATATATCCTTGTGATAACCAAAGTCCTTTAAACCAGTAAATAAAAACCTCCACAGTTGCAGCTCTCATTCCTACAGTCCCATTCAAGTTGTGGAATAGGCGTTGTCTTCTACCATTCTTTTCTGGTTTGCTTGAGATATTGTTTCACATCTTCAGCGCAATATTTTACAATCCTCGTATTTTCTTTTTTTTTCCGGTTGTCTTAAGCCAACGGCCTTGACAACCATGAATTTATAAAAATCGAAGGCATAGGTGGCCGGTGACACCAGGTTGGACGACCACTTTCCAATCTGCAATCCAGACAGAAGAAAACTGGCATCCGAATCAGTTAAAGCCCAGTAAAGTGACGAAATCAACTTGCTCAGTCCAAGAGCACCTATCTAATAAACCAGCCCACTGAATATTCCCCATATATCAGTCAGCTAAGTCCATATGTAATCATTGAGCTTTGTACATTACAATCAAGCACGCCATCTATTTTCAACAGCAAGCCTAACGCCTTTGGGTTACCCAATAAAGATTAGGACTTCCTCTTCCTTTAATCATTGTCTCCTCTTCCGGCCAGGGATGGCAAAAAGGTCTGTTGACTTGGAGGATACACTCTCCGGGGGGTACTAACCCCTTTTCATATATATATACCGACCTCCATTTTCATTGGAGATAATTTTTAAACCCCCTGTACTTGCCTCTATTTGAAAGCATATCCCCTTTAAAGGCCAGCATCATTTTTTATGATTAGCACTTTTTATGTATTATTTTAAGTAAAGAAAAAAAATACTATAAGCTTGATAGTAATAAGTTTGTTTGACTTGAAATTTAAATAATATCTTGATTAATTAATTAGTTTTTATGGTGACAAGGGTATTAATTTATATAGATTTAACTATATAATTAAAAGAATTATGTAGAATTCATTACAAGTAGCATAAAATACTAAAATATCCTATATTTATTAAAATAAATGTGCATTTCACAACAGAAAGGCAAGGTCATAAATATAAGAATTTAGAATATAAAAAAGTGGATGCGAAAGAAATTTTTATGGTATACAAGGAGGAATTAGTGACTTAGATACTCTTAATTAGTTAATTTTTAGGATTCATTTCGAATTTTAAAACAAAAAAAAAATCATAACCCATAAAAAAATAAAAAAATTCCCTAACTACAATTTCTCTATTATTTTTTTAAAATGAACATAAAAAATCTTTTAAAATGTCATTAGCTACTTAGTGCCGTAAAATTTTCCGGATATAAAAATTAAAGGTTACCATATATACTTGTGTAAAGAATGAATCTCTATCCGACGAACCTTCGTTTCCATTCCCCTTTTTAAGAGCTGGGAGCTCCTAGGTTAAGTGTTCTTTTGAGCACCATTCAAGTCCAACAAGACTAATCACGTCAAATGAAAATTATAACTTGTTCTTGAACCACTTCTTTCATTCCTCGTATCAACTATAATCCCTCATTTGTTTTTCTTTTTTTTTGAAAAAAAAACTATTTTCTTGATCCAAAATATGGGGTCGTCGGGGGAAATGATGGAAATTACAGTTACTCTCTTTTACATTTGAAAAAAAAAGAAATCCCTTTTTCAAAATACAGCTTGTCTAGTCCTTTGTTAATTGAATAAAAATTTTAATTTTCTTTTTCAAATTTGAAAGGAAAAAACTATAATAAGTTTAACTGTTTTCTACCGTGAGGACTTGTTTTGGAAAGTGGGAGTATTAATTAAGCTTCAAGGACCTCATGTATTTGTATGTCTGAAAACCTAATTTCATAGGACCCCCATTGCCAATACAAGCAATCTTGAAATAATGAATTAAGCAACAGAGATATATATGCATAGATTAACGCAACAAAGCAATCGCTTTCTTTCGAAGATCTATTTTGTTTTTCTTCCCTGTCAATTTCAACATTTCATAATCATATTTGCTTCGGTTGTAGGTTAGCTTCTTCATGCTTACGATCGGATCATATTCGAATTACAAGCTGTAACTGATCTGGTTAATTGTCTTAAGTACTGTACTTGTAATTGATTGCATATGTTAATTACTGAACACAACCCAGATAAATACACTTTCAATGGACTCTAAATCTTGAGCAGCAAGTGCCCCAGATGCAGGAGCAGGTTGGGAACGCGGTTTAACCCGCGTTCCCAATCCCAAAAAATTTAAAATTTTATTTTATTAAACATTAATATAATTTATACATTTTAAATTATTTTAAAGTGCTAATATTAAAAATAATTTTTAAAATATAAAAAATATCATTAACATATATTTTAATATAAAAAATTATTTAAAAAATAATCACTTTTATACTACCAAAGACACTTTCATTCTACCTTTTTCTCCCTTTTAGATTTTTTTTATATAAAAAAATAAAAATAAATGTAAATATAAACTAGCCATACATGCCGTAGAAAACAACTTTCACACACCCAAAAGATCTATAGATATAGACATCACGGTACAATTATTGACTCTATGATTAGGAATGAGTGATTCATAAGCAATGATTTTGATACTTCCATGCTACGAAACAAAACATAATACCCAGTTTCATGTGGACCTCCATATTCCTCCTGGTTTTGGAGTGTTCCACGCATTTTTTTACTTTTGATTTTAGATGCTATTTAAAAATTTCTTGAAAACAATATTAAACTAATATTTTTTATGTTTTTTTGATAATTTTAATATAGTAATATTAAAAATAAAAAATATTTTAAAACAAAAAATTAATTTAAAAAGAACCGTATACTACAATTTTAAAAAATATATCTTATTTTCTTGCACAACTCCCCTGGTTAATTAGCTAGTTGTAGTTGCCCTTTTCTTCTCTTACAAGAATTTTCATTAATTTATTACAGTGTGGGAATTAAGAAACGGGCATCAATATGCATCCCATTTGGAACAGGACCATGGCGACATTATTAACTTCGTTAATGACCTCTCAGTGATCTTTTGTGACTGATTGGCTCCGCTCGCCTACTCCGATCATAAGACTGAACAAGAATTGCACCTCTTCCTCTTTTTTCTTTTTCTTTTTCTTTTTTCATCATGCAACCCTAAGATGTGAAAATACCTCAATATCCCTCCAGATTTTATTTTTTTTCAATGTAGGTCACTGTAACCCAACTAGTACGGATTCATGAGGAGATATTTTGGAACTTCAAATTTATAAGAATGTATGTTTCCTTCCTTAATTTTTGAACTTTAAATTTTAAGATTTATATCCAGAAAAAAAATATTAGATTTTTATGAATGCAACAAATAGTACAAAGGATACGCCCTTAAATTACACGAAGAAAAAAAAAATAATCTTAGCTAATGAGTAAATTATTTGAAAACACATCCCCAAGTTGAATTAAAAAAAACATAATTTCACAAGTCATTCAAGTTTTATGGTTTGTAATTGATAAATAGAAGAATATTATGCTTTTTGAGCTCAAATTTCCCTTCACGTCCTTTTTTTAAAAAAAAAAACAAACGCATAACCAAAAATTTTAAAATAATTATACTATTATTATTTACAAATCACGGCCCTTTCAAATTAAGTTCAACAGAACACACAAAACATTTCCTGTAAACTCAAGGGACACCTGGTTATTTGCCCTGCATGCCTGCTTAAACATCTGATAAGACCTTGAACTGAAATCAAGGTTGGCATGCAGCATCAATTTCTTCGATGGAGGCCTTCTTTAATGAATAGCTTCCCTTAACTACGTGCATGTCTGAGCCGTCAACACCATGGATGTTCATGTCTTGAAGCCCAACCATCCAAGCAATTTGGTCCCCAGAATCGGGTGATCCATGAATTGATTAGCACCACTTTAACCCTCGCTCCACGGCATAGCTGCAGGGTCCCCGGTTCGCGTGAACCTGTAGTCTCATTCAACTCGCGTCATGATCAATAATACAGTCTAGCCATGATATCGTCTTTTGCTTTGGGTCGGTGAAGAGGAACTCAATCTAGGTGATTGATCCCCCCTCCACTCTGGGGCGTTCTCCGACACGCGCCAGACCTTTACAGATTTGTCTAAGCTCCCGCTATACACTATCCAATGTTGATCTCCTTTATCAGATTCTCGATCTTCTTCAACGGCCAGGCATTTCACCGGACCACCATGACCAGTTAAAACTGACAGGCAAGTATGGACCCCACCAGCCTCCCTACGCCAAACACAAATACTTTTATCGGCGGACCCACTAAACACCAAATTACCAGCAGACGCCAGGCATAGGACGGCCATTTTGTGGCCTCGAAGGACCCCACCATGTGACAAGTGCTTTTCACGTTCCCAGAAATTTACCAGCCCATCGGATGATCCGCAGTAAATTGATTCTTCATTTACTGAGAGCGCTGTTACCGCGTTTTCATGTTTTAACAGTGTTTGAACCAAGAAGTGCCCGGTTCTTCTCCCTTGAAGCTCCCTTCTCCACACTTTTACTGTTCCATCAGCGGAGCCGGTAAACACCAACGAATCAAACCCGGTGACGACTGAATTTATGGCGTCGTCGTGTGCGTTAATTGATTCGAGGCATTTATAGTCTGAAGTTCGCCAAACTTTTAGGGTTTTGTCCCAGGATCCTGAGTATAATAAACCCTGATCTTCGTTCAGGCTCAGGCATGAAACGGCGTCGAAATGCTTGATACGCAAAACGTTGCGATGTCTACGAACTTCTACGTAGTTCTTGGGGTTCACAGAGCTTTTGACGTAATCTTTAAGAGTTGGTACGGTTCCAACTCGTTTGTAAGCACTAGGATTTCGGGAAGATGCCCTCCATACTCTGATCTTGCCATCTTGATGACCAGTGAAAATCTTGTCACCGTGTATAACAATGGCCTTAACCAAGCCACTGTTGGATTTAAACCCAGCAAACTCCTTCAAATTATTCCATACACGTATGTTCTTGCTATCAGAGCCAGTGTATAGCAAATCACCAGAAGCAGCTAGAGAATAAACATGGCCTTCTTCACGTGCAAGGGATCCAACAAGGCCATTCTTAGAGAAGCTATGGTTGACTGGAGATGGTATTACCCATGGAGATTTAGTGTATGGAGATAGCTGGTTCCATGGCGAGAGGTAAGGAGAGCCCTCGCCACTCGGTGGGGTGCTGCCATTGTAATATCCAGGACTCATGTTGCCAGAGGTTGGGCTGTTTTTGTTGCTAGAATCGTCCTCTTCTTGATTAGTAAAAAAAGCAGGATCTGAATGCAAGAGAGAACCAAAAGTTGGTCGGTGTATTGAGAGTTCTGCAACCATGGTGCCACCTCTTTCGTGTCTCATGTAAAGCAGAGGATTTTATAGCAAATGCAGGAATGAGAGCGTTTTAGGTGGAAGCAATTAGCTTTGAGAGATTCTTGTAGGAAAGTTTGGGAGGCAGAAAGTTGGAACCGGTTGAGAAGGGCAAGGGTCTATATATATAGGGAAGATGGAACAGTGGTCGGTGATCTAATGGTGTAATAGGTAGACACGTAGAGAAAAACAAACGTCATTATTGCAGACCGGGAAACTGGGTGTGCGGGTAACAAGGAAAGATCCAGGAAAAAAATTGCAAATTAAATGACAACATGTTTTTATTTTCTTCGTGGTAGGCGTTTAGTATTTACACGCTACGGTATATATTTTCAGGGAAAATATATTTTATGGATATTCTATTAAGAATATGTACTCACGCGTTATCAAGAAAGTGTCATTGGATACAAGCTGCCTTCACATTGTTTGACTTGATATTTCCTTAGCGGGGAAGTTCTAGAACTTTGAATTTTGTTTTGACACCTGACAAGCAGACGTAAGCTTCTTTTTCACAAGTTTGATGCCATTATCGTATTGGATGCGAGGATATCAAGCGAGTGTATTTAGTTTGAAGGTGTAATGGTTTTTTTATTAAAAGTATAATATTTTTTAAATATAAATTATATTTTTAAAAGTTATAAAAACATGTTTTTTATTCAAAATAGCACAAGTAATTTTCCATTCAAACACCCTCTTAGTTTCAGTTAAAGCTGCATGCTTATGTCTTGGCCGGTTTGTAACTCCTCCTGTTTGAAGCTCTCGAGTCCCATATATTTACTGCCATATATACTTTGAGAGCGGTTTCAATCGGTTATTTCTCTATTGTCGATTGAGATTTAAGGTTTCTTTCTATAGCTAACGATATGTTCTTAAATAACCATTTTCAAATAAAAAAGCTATGCATCTTATTTGATAATTTAGGGGCTTTGAGGACAGTTTTTTTTTTTTTTTTTTGAGTTATACTTTTGACAATTTATTTTATGTGATGAAGGCATAAAAAATGATTAGCCGGATGCCAATATGGGATGATATTTTTTACGCAAAAAAGAAAAAAAAAGGCGAATGGATTTTAATTTTGGATAGGAATGAGATGATTTTACATGAATAACATTTTGAACACACGTTGGTATATTTGACTCTAACAAATTAAATAATAAAAGAAATTTGGAGTTTCGATTTTTTATTGCCACGATTATTTGAGAGCATTTTTGAGTAACCAAACAATATTTTGGAGTTATTTTCTCTGTTGACCATCATGATGGACGAGACATTAACGCATCATGCTTCTCATCTGTCGTGCAACCTTTACAGTAGTGGCAAACAAAAAATCATGCGATGAGTTGCGACAACAACGTTAAAGAATGCTACTCAAGCCCATTGAGTTCGCTTTACAACTTATGCTTTTGTGACCGTTTCATCATTATCACTTTCCAAATACCCTTCCAATCCATGCATTCCATCTATCACTCTAGACATTTCCCATCTCATTCTAGACAACTATACATGAAGGTCACATGTCACTTGTTGATTTCTAGGGTTTAGGCTTGTAATTTTGATGGATCATATCTAGCGGCGGTTCCAAGCCGACCAGCTATACATGAATATCTCATTATATATATATGTATTTGTTTTTGCATTAGAGTTGAGAAATAAGGGTTTGATCTAAAACAAAGAAGTTCTTTTTATTTTTTCACTATCGCTTTTATGTTGTTTAGAAAATATACAAGGTGGGCATAGAAAACAACTACCATTCGTAAGCCTCAGTGGCCCTATGCTAACCATTATGATCTTATTATGAACAAAAATATTTTGGGTTTGGTAATTGCAATGAAAGTTGATATACTTAATTCAAGCTTAACTTAATAATGTTTAAGATTAATAATAAACATAAAATATGGAAATTTTCATAAAATTTAAAATGTGTATATATTTGAATGTGATGATGTTTCTGCACATGACGATAAAGTGATTATAATTAGCTCTTATAAATATTTTTTAATAATTAAGAAGGTTATGAATCTTTTATTATGATTATCAAGATTAATGTGAAACTATTAAGAGACATTACTAATTTAATAGTTCACGTAAATATTTTTTATTTTTTAGTATTTAATATTATTCTAGCTAGCTATATTTACTCATTATAATTTCATTTTCGAATTTAAATAAATGATAAAAAACCACATACTGTAGATAATTTTTCTTTTAAAAGTTACTTCCTTTTCCTCCAATTCTCTCACGTTTTTTTTAATGAACATCTCTGGTTATCGCATGGAAGAAATAACATTATATACGGACACGTAAGTCATAAGTAGGCGAACCATACGCTATAAGCTTCTCAGAAAAAATAAAAAAGTCCTCTCATTTTAAACTCCGTGGCGCCGCGCCATGTAGCCGCTTTTTCGGCTAATTTTTCATGCGCACCAAACGTCAACCATTTCCTTGCTGCCACCTGCATCTCACAAATTGGTAAAGGACAGTGACATCTCTCGGTTGCCCCCCTCACATCTCACCAAGCTAACGGCCACGTAACCGTTTCCCTCGCAACACAATGACATCTGCGTTCTTGCCACGTAATCGAAGCGTGGTTTTCCAAACCAGTTACCAGCTAACAAGTGTCCACTGAGATTATCCTACGTCAGCATGATGGCATGACTCTTTTGGGTGTCTGGCCCTTTGATCAAGCGAAGGCTCCATGGTATCTGTGTGTTCTCTTGATTTGATTGACACTTGGCAATTTTTAGAAGATGATCAATTCCCTTGCTAATTAGTTTAGACGACACAATCAATGCTCGTGTTTTATATATATATATATAT